CGAACTCACAAAGATCCGCCTGCCTCTGCCTCCCGAGTGCTGGGATTAAAGGCGTGCGCCACCACCGCCCGGCCTCCGAATAGTAGGTGCTCTTGCAGAGAGAGGATCCAGGTTTGGTTCTGAGCATCCACATGGAGACACAACTAAGTGTAACTCTAGTTCCATGGACCCTGACTTCATTTTTTGGACTTTCAGTGCACCAGACATACATGTAGTAACATACATACATATAAACAATCATACATATAAAAATAATACATCTTTCAAAAAAGTAGTTATGTTAAAAATATTCAAATAGTTCCATAGCAGCTCATTAAATAAAAAAAATAACAAAAGTTCAAATTTTCAAAGGCAACCATTTTTAAGTTTCTTATATATATTTCCAGATATATTCAGAAGATGGAGTTTAAGTACTCTATGTCGTTTTGGACACACATTTCTGCCATTCCTTGAAATGATGCCAAAATAACAGAATAAAAGCTGATTTTTTTTTTTAAGTAAAGTTTTCTTCTTCATGGACAAGAATACTGGAAATGATAATACAGGGAAAGGATTTTTTTAAATTTTAATTTCAGAAATGGGCAGTAACTAACTTAGGTCAAATGCATGCAAATGCCTATAGTAGGGGAGAACTGTGTAGAGGTGGATTCCCAGAGTTGAGTTCCCCAAAGCTCGAGATGAAGGATCATGGCACCGCAAAGCTTGCATGATAAATACAAGGCTGGCTGAAAGGCTGTTTCAGGGTCCTCCCTGCCCTTCCCTTCTTCCTGCTCCCTAACATCCACCAGCAGAGAGCCCTCCCAAGCTTCCAAAGGATTCCATGCACAGATGGAAAAGCTCTGAGGAACAAAGGAGGTGGGAGGTGGTTCAAGATCTCTTTCATGTATTTAGTTCTGAAGAACATCAAAATGAAGCTTTGAACTATCTGGTAGAATCCTAGCCAGAGAAAAGACCTGTCAGCGCTGATAGTAAAGGGCTTCATAGCCAGGCAGGCTGGCCAGAAGAGCAGAAAGGGCAATCTATCCCTTCAAACCTCACCCTATCCACACACAGACTCCAATGTGTTGTAAAATACAAGCATATAGCAAAGAACTACTAGATACTGAACCAAACCCCATAACATGAGAGGCCTGACACGCAAATGCACAAAAAAGAATGAGGCAATAAAAGAAGTAGGAGAAGACATCAAATAAATGAAAATTAGACAATTGGAAATAAGTAATGTATATATGGAACAAAAAGAGAAGACAGAAAAATTCAGAACATAAATGGTAGAATTAAGAAAAATCTGGGTGCTGGAGAGATGGTTCAGTGGATAAGAGCACTGGCTGCTCTTGCAGAGGACCAAGGTTCAAATCCCAGCACCCACATGGTGGCTCACAACCACCTGTAACTCCAGTTCCAAGGGATCCGGTGCCCCCTTCTGACCTCCACAAGCAACAGGTACACATGTAGCAAACAGACAGACATGCTGACAAAACATCCAGACACACAAAATAAATAACTAAAAACATTTAAAAACGATCTAAAGAGATGGATAAAGACAAAAAGGTATCTCAAGGAGACAGAGGGGTGAACAGTGGGGATTACAGGTTGAGTGTAGAAGGTGCAGTGTCTGAGTCACAGATCCTTTCAGGAAAAAAACAGGCGGAGAGGACAAAAGGAGAGGCCATTCTCAAATACTTACTTCAAAAGTTCCTTTCAAAACTGGATGTTGTGAGTCCATAGATGAACCACTGCTGTGCCAGCACCACCAACGGATAAAAGGCCTGCTGTATCAAGGTGCAGCGAGGAGAGCCCTACCGGAATGGGGATTGGCAAACAAACAAACAAACAAACAAACAAACAAACAAACCAAAGCAAAAAACCAAAAAAAACCCAAACCAAACCGAACCAAAAACCCTGTAGCTTCCAAGAGAAAAGGAAACCAGGTGAGATGAATCTAGAATGAATTAGTGACAGGGAAATGAGGTACATAAAAATTTCAGCAAACTGAAATGGGGAAAGTTATCAATTTTGACTGAAAAGGAGAGTTTATAGCTCTTTGGCTTTTAAAATATATACAACGAATTGGCTGTCAATCTTCCCAATGCCGCAACCTTTTAATACAGTTCCTCATGTTGTGGTGACCCCTAATCACTAAATTATTTTTGTTGCTACTCCATAACTGTAATTTTGTGGCCATTAGGGGTTGTAATATAAATATTTGTGTTTTCAGATAGTCTAAGGTGACCTCTGTGAAAGGGTCATTCAACCCCCCCAAAGGGGTCGTGACCCACAGGTTGAGGATAACTGATATAATTAATACAATTATAATACAGTACTATGTAATGAAAATATATTTTGAGCACAACAGTGGCAGAGTACACACTTGTGTACATATAAAAGTATAAATGTAAGTGTATACATCGTGATATTGTGTTCCAGAGGTAAAATCTGGGGGAAGAATTTTGTTTCCTTTAGACAGCTTCACCAGCACTGGTAGGGGGCACCAAACCACCCCACATACTCATAGCCCTACATGCTACAAAACCATCTTTGCCATCTGCAACTCACATGAAAACACGTATCACTTTTTACCTTTATGTGCATGTACTTAAAATGATTTTTCCTGCTGTGTCCCAATTAAAAAAAATCTCTTCCCCTTCAGATCCCTTTTCCATGTACCTTATTTCTCATTAGCATGTGTCCCTTTTGTCCTTCACAAAGTGGACAAAATTATCCCTGCAAGATGAATTTCATAGTAACCCCCCCTTTTTAAAATTTAACTTTATTGACTCTTTGGGAGTTTCACATCATGCACCCCAATTCTGTTCACCTCCCACTTCCCCTACATCCTCCCCTCATCCCACCACGCCCCCCATGTAAGGAAACCAATCAAAGTATGCAAACAAGGGAACAAAAGCAAAACCAAAAACATACAAACCAACCCAAACCCAAACCAAACCAAGCCGCAAATCACAACAATAGACAAATCTCTTTGCTTCTGCTTTTCTAACATCTCTTCATTCGTCCTGGTGGCAATGGAGGCCTCAGTGTGCCATACAGTACACCTCTTTGTCCATCTGTTTTACTGGAAAGTGTTTATTGCAATGAATCACTGGTCAAGGCCTCTGGATTCTGGTACACCATCATCACTGGAACCTCACCAGAACTCCTCTGGGATATCTTGTGGCTGCCATGAGTCTTTCGAGTATTGTTCCATAGGACTGGTCCCTTCAGCAGCTCCAGCAGGTTCTAGATGGCAGAGATGCTGGGGCGGGTCAACCCAAGACCTGGCTATGGGGCTGGTTGGTAGCCATGCTGGTCATTCTGGGCCCCTGGGGCCACTGACCTCGGGTGAGGGGGTGGAGGCAGCTCCCTTTCCTAGTAACCTTTTTATGGTCAGCAAGCACTGCATACTTATATGCATAAAGTTACAATTTTATAGCTATGTTCTTATTTTTAAGATGTCAATAATATTTATCATAATATAAAGACAATTAATTACAAAGATATTTCACAGAATGCAACATGTGTCATTGCAGGATAAGCCATTATTGCATGAGCTGCTAAGAAAGTAAAAATGCTGCTCATAAAAGGAAAAGAAACCATAATACTTTTTTTTGGTTTTTCGAGACAGGGTTTCTCTGTGTAGCTTTGGCGCCTTTCCTGGGACTCATTTGGTAGACCAGGCTGGCCTTGAACTCACAGAGATCCGCCTGGCTCTGCCTCCCGAGTGCTGGGATTAAAGACGTGCGCCGCCGCCGCCGCCGCCGCCGCCGCCGCCGCCGCCGCCGCCGCCCGGCTATAATACTTCTTAATGCTTATGGTTTTTATTTCACTTGCTGAATATTATGCAATTCCCAGTTTCACATCCTTTGGGAATGCAAACACTGCAATTTAAAAACGGTTTATTTACTGATAGCAGAAGTAGGATGAGGTGAGGTGACACACATCTAAATTCCAAGAACTCAGGAGGCTGAGGTCAGAGGACTGCTAGAGCCATCTACGGTGGTTTGAAAGAAAATGGCCCCCAAAGAGAGTGGCACTATTAGGAGGCATGGCCTTGTTGGAATAGGTGTGGTTTTATAGGAGGAAACGTGCCACTGTGGAGGTGGGCTTTGAGTTCTCATATATGCTCAAGCCACACCCAGTGAGACAGACCACTTCCTGTTAACAGTAAGTCAAAGTGTAGGACACTCAGCTACTTCACCAGCACTATGTCTGCCTGCATGCCAACATGTCCTGATGATAATGGACTAAATCTCTGAAAATGGAAGCCACCTCAATTAAATATTTTCCTTTATAAGAGTTGCTGTGTTCGTGGTGTCTCTTCACAACAATAAAAACCTTAACTAAAATACCATCCTTGGCTACAAAGTGAGACTTTAAACTAAAACGAAACCAAAATAAAACAGAAGAGAAAGATAACTAACAGACTTTTAAAATGTAATTTCTAGGTGTCCTCTTAACAAGATAACTCCTATAAAAATAGCAACACTAGTAACATGGGCTACTATAGTTTGGCTTTATTTTAAACCATTTAAATGTTTAGTTCTGTGAAACAGAGTAAGACTATCTGTTAAGTTACAAGTCAACTTTCTGACAATCTTTCCAGTACTAACAGCTACAGTTCTATAGGAGAGGGATCTCTCTGAGACACTTGGAGAAGGCTCCAAGACTCTGCAGATTATTTATCCACAGAGGTATTCGTAAGTTCAATTTGATGGCATGGAGCACTATGGAAGTGGATTTAAGATCAATGGTAACCCACAAAGATTTCCCAAGTTAGGAAAGAATATTTTCAGAAAGAAATTAGTTCACTGATATACACAATAACAAACTCCAATGTTTCTTGGTTCAAAGAAGGTACATTTATTTTAAGATAATAAAACAATGTAAGACATGTAGCTTTAAAATTAAGATTTATAGTAACAATCAGACTTTAAGCTAAAACAATTTATTATAAACTATTCTGAAAAGTACCAAGTATCATTTATCATGTAGACTTTCTTTAAGAAGCATAACACTAAAATTTTATGTAGAGTTTAATGTTTGTCAAATCTGTATAATTTGTAGAGGAAAAAATTGAAGCTAACATATGTGTATTTAGTGCATTATTTGCAAAACATTCAAAATATTTCAGTTGATGTAGCCAACACCCCAGTGAGATATTTCTACCTCCATTTTATAGACAAAAATGTTTAAGAGTGATACAAAGGGAATCATTGTAATTCACTATTCTTTTACCATATTAATTCATCAGACTATTTTATTTATTTTCATTTTTATATTATCTTGCCACCTTATAAACTGACCCATTCACAATAAAGCAATAAAGAATAGTGACTATGCTTATATTATAGGTGTTATTTCTTTGGGACAATGACAAGAATTATAAAGGATCTTTAAATAGGTTATTTAATTTTTAGTCCATATTAACAAGGTTTCCATTTATTTATGACAAATGCCAAAGACTAGTTTGTACTTTTTCAATTATTTTACATTTCATATATTACCAAGAACATTCCAGGCCTGAGGCATGATAAATGAGTAGGTAGGTAGGTATCTCAGTCTAGACATCAAATGACTAAAATTTCAAAGCAGGTGAAATTAAATAAGTATACTATACTATTTTGTACATTATATTTCTATATTGGTGCAATAAATAATACCAGACAAAGAATGTGGAAAAGTCTAAAAAACACAAAATCAATCATTACTAATAACACTGAAATAACATTACTTTTATAAATAAGCTGATGCAGATCAAGTTCACAGTCAATAACTTAGAAAAATAAAGCCAGTGTTTCCTATTTTCATATGCAAAAGAAAGTAATGGTTGGAGTGTATGCAATTTATACTAAATAAGTCTTATGGAAGAAGATAAATGAATATATTAATCTTTTAGATATTAGATTAATAATGTAATACATGCAATATATAAATATATTAACTTAAACTCATTGCTTTATTTTATAATACCTTTGCATAAGCCAATTTTATCAGGTAGCCAAAGTTCTATTAAGTATTCTAAAATTCTTTTTTAGTGTGAAAAATCTAAGATTTCTTTATCCTCTTTCCTTCCTTCCTTTTTTTGTTTTAAAAAAATTTGTGGGGTTGGGGATTTAGCTCAGTGGTAGAGCGATTGCCTCAGCTCTGAAAAAAAATTGTTTGCAGTGTTGGGAATTACACCTGAGGCCTCACACATGGTAGGCAAGTACTCTGCCAGCTACTTATTTCCCCAGCATTTTTATTTTTGGCAGGGTTCTTCTAAGTTGCCCAAGTGCCTTGAGCTTGTGTTACAGCCCAGGCAGGCCTTGAGTTATAACTGTCTTGGCCAGTTTCTCAAGTGGGTTTTTTTCAATAGAAAGTTTTATTTTCCCTTTTAAGACATATTATTTCGACATAATGAGTTATATATAAATGATTCATCACTACTGGCTGTTTGGATCAATTTTGCATGTGGTCCTTTTGCAAGAAACAAAAGATTATCTTCTACCTATTAAATGTACATCAATCTTCTAAATCATTTATTAGTTTTGATGCTATAGACATATGTTAATAATATCCAGTATATTACTAATATTATTTCCATATATTCTACTTGCAATTAGGAGCAGCACCACGTTTACCCCATGGTAATTACTACTATCACTGTCCTGGCTTCTAGCATCAGCATGTGATCACTACCCTTTCTTCAAAAAAAAAAAAATAATCTAAATTGTTTTTTAAATAAAATACCTGAAATCCTGTTGACTTTGGTACAGAAATAAAACAAAACACACAAAGAAGAGCAAAACAAACAAAAATTTACACAAATCCAACAATGTAAATTACATAAGTACTTTTAAAAGTTGAAAGTACAATGTAAACCATCATATTATGTAGTAAATTTTCACTTGTTTTCTGAAATTACTTCAGTGTAATTAAATATAAGGTAAATAACAGGGACTTACGAATAAGTCTAAGGGCCCTAAGACAAGTCAGAAGCAATATTCATTGCCTGAAAACAGGTTCACAGTCCAAACCAGAAGAAAATGTGTTTCTGTTTTTAAGCTATCTATATTCTATCATTCATAAATTCTTTTGAAATAAAGACATTTCTAATAAATAAATAGACATCTAAATACATTCTCAGTTACTGGGACTACCCATGTACTTGTGAAGGGAATGAAAAAGTTCAGACTTCCATCAGTCAAGGTGAAAGGTCAACTGATCATATTCAGCATCTGCAGTACGTGTTCTCTTGGTGGCGCTAGGGATCAAACCCAGGGTTAAACCTTGTAATTAGAAGGTTCAGTTCTCCTCTGTTTCACATTGACAAACTCAGCTTAAGGAAAAAAAAGTAATTTCATAGTATTTCACTTTCCCTTTATTTTCTGCATGCTCTGACTTCACACTTGGATCCACACTCTGAAACTTGCTTCTTGCCTTGTCACACAGATCATAATCCTTCAGTCTTCGTTTTAGGAGGATCTAGTTAAAAAAAAAAAAAAAACAACCCACAATGTCAAAGCAATAGTTATGTAATGTAACTCAAGGTAATGACATTAATCAAATTTTTACAAAAATTACATGAAGCAGTCAGGCATCTAATTAAAAACTGAGCATATGAAATATAAGAATAAAGTATTTAAAAGTTCATAGCTTTTTTTTTTTTTTTTTTTTTGGTTTTTCGAGACAGGGTTTCTCTGTGTAGCTTTGCGCCTTTCCTGGAGCTCACTTGGTAGCCCAGGCTGGCCTCGAACTCACAAGAGATCCGCCTGGCTCTGCCTCCCGAGTGCTGGGATTAAAGGCGTGCGCCACCAACGCCCGGCAAAGTTCATAGCTTTTTAAAAAACTGTATTAATCTCTTCATATTTGTGCATGGGAGCAGCATGTGAATGTATGTATGTGGGAGTCTATTATCACCTTCCATCATGTGGGTTCAAGTTGTCAGGCTTTGGGCCAAGTGCATTTATCCACTAAGACATTTCATTGGCCCCAGTGCATATTTTGTTAAGAAACTTCTTTAGTACTCAGTTTCTGAAAGGCATAGATTTGGGTAATCATTTTGATCTATGGTCTATGCACTAATACATATTACCAGTAGGGTCTGTGCATTGCTATCACAAGTACGATGGGGACACCATATACAGAGATGTATAAAGGGGATGGTACTGATTTTTCAGTGAGTTGTTCTTGTTCCGTGAGGCAATACACAGTTTCTTAAAATAGAAGTATGGAAGACCCTAGGTAGCTAAATCACAAGTTACCTTAACAGATAAGTAAGCCTGTTTGTTTCTCAATGTCTTGGACCACTGCTTCCCAAAGTGGATTCCATATAATACTAGGCCTCCAAACCACCCCACAAAACACTCATACTGCAGTTTCTCTGTAGAAAGACAAAAACTAATAGTAGCATAGTGAAAGCTGATAAATCTATGGAGAACATAGTAATGCGGCCATTTCTTTTACATTTCTCCAAGTTGACAAAGTGTGATGGTTGGTTAGTGTTGACAACTTGAGAGAACCTGAAATCACCCAAGGAGACAAGCCTCTGGGCAGGCTTGTGGGGAGTGTATGGACTGCACAGTTTGAGATGGGATGATTCACCACTCTGACTGGGGTTCTGAAGCGCACAAACGGGGCAGGTCAGTAAGCAGCAGTGCAGTCTCTGCTCTGCTTTCCGACTGTGGATGAGGTGTGAGCAGCTGCTTCCTGCTGCCTCCTTGCCAGGATGGACTGAGCACCCTCAGATCGTGAGCCAGAGTGAACCCTTTCCCCTTAAACTGCTTTACTGAAGTATTTTATCACAGCCGTGGAAATATAAAGACACAGAACAACTTGTTTTTTCTCTTTAAAACTGTTTACCAGTACTGAGAAGAGCCACTTTGGGAAACATAAAGAGTTTAAGCTTGAGGGAAATAGTAAGAAATATACATCAGAACATATTCTCATTCTAAATGAGCAGAAAACCTCCAACATGGGAACCTAAAATGACTGACCAAAATCACACAGTAATTATTGATGCTTAAAATCAAAACCAATCTTGATTCTGGAGTCTACAAGTTTGAGATATTTCTTTGACTTCCTGAATGACTCAGGGGCACAGCTGTTAAGGCCTGCAGTCCATGCTCTCTGAAAGCAGAAGCAGGAAGATCACGACTTCAAGAGCACAAAACCACGGGCTCGGGGTGAGAAGCAGCGGCGGAGTGGCTGCCTCTTACGCCCAAGGCACTAGGTTTGATTCTCAGCAATGCAAAGCTGGGCGAGAAAGATCTATGTGTGAGAATACATAAGAACAATGCTTAGCATAGTGCCACACACCAAACTCATTCTTTAAAAGTAAAGCTGCCATTTTTGTGGCAACATTTAGAACCACACTCCCTCAAGAACCTAACGCCAATTCCCTAGGTGCTAATGATCTTCTATTACAGTGTATTGTACCTGCACAGGAACGGAGCTACAAACTTAACATAAAACATTCCTTCCTTCCTTTTTCCTTCCCGAGACAGTGTCTCATGTATCCCAGCTTGGCTGAGGATGACCCTGTATTTCTGGCTCTCCTGCTTCTACCTCCAATGTTGGGAGAAGGGGCTGTGCACCACTACACCTGTGATTCTGGAGATCAAACCAGGGCCTTATGCATGCCAGGTGAGCACTCTACCAACAAAGCTTTGTCCTCAGCTCCTGAACATACAGTTTTTAAACCAAGACACCCTCTCTGTCCTCACCAAATTATAGGTGACAATTACATTTCTTTCAGGTATTTTCTTCTCTTGTGGAACATGGGATTTAATGTGTGCTCTAACACTGAGCCCGAACTCTAATTCATTCCCATCTGTTGTTTAGATGTTATAAAAATGTATCTATTATCAATTATTACTGGGAAATTAGAATAAATCTAAGTTAACATACTTATCTGCTGTGAAGTTCTTTTTTCAGGCAGGATTTGAAGGTCGGATACTTCTGGACTGTTTTATAACCCTGTGGAATAAAGGATTACAAATGTCCACATGTATATGAGAGAGATCCAGTATAATTTAATTTATATTTAGAAGCTATAAGCCAAATTTATGGACATAGAGCAGGATGCTGATTTTCAGGATGGGAAGGTTTGCAGACACAGGAAGAAGTGAACCATAGGCACAAATTCCAGTCACACAGGAAAAATGCATTTTCAAGATCAATTGCATAGAATGGTGGCCATAGCTAATAACCATGTGTATTTCAAAGCTGCTTAAAAATAGATTTTGATGCCTCACACTACAAAGAAGTGCAAGATTATATTAACTGGATTAAGATAATTGTGCTACAATGTGTTCATGTAACAAATGTGCAAATACTAGTAAAACACTATGGGAACATAGGCACGCACAGATTAGTGAACAGAGTGAGACTCATGGTACCTAGAGGGAAAGCTGTGCCCAAGGCTTACAGTGTGGTCCATACTAAATTGAACCTGGCTATTTTTGAGAGATGAATGGATTTCTATGTACACCCTCACAAGTGTCTGAGCAGCATGTGAAACGTTAACAAGCTACCACTAGGTGGCACTTACGTACAAAGGAAACTTCTCCAAGACAGCTTGGGCAGGAAGTTATTAAACAAATCTTTGAATTACAATTTCTAAGTGATAATCTTTCTTTTTTCTATATATGGATTTATATACTTCAAATGTTTATCTCTGACTGACTACAGCAGCTGTTAATTTTAAAGGGATTTTTTCCTCTTCTATTTCTGGAATGTCCATTAAGTATGTTAGCAGTGTAAACATTTATTAAGCCACATTGTAGTTGAAATTTTTAAAAAGTGGTTTTTAGAAAAGGGAAGATGATCTTCTGTTATTTATTAGTATGTCAACAGGAAAAATAATTTCCAGTTTATTTTATTCGTAGGAGTGTGTATGCAGTGACTTAAGAGCCTCAGTTTCCTACTGGAAACATCCACTGTGCAACAAGGACAGTTTCCTGTTAGCTCCCAAGTCTGAAGCCAATGAGAGGATTACATGAAAATGACAACTGGCAATGCCCTCCCCCAAACAGCAACAGACGTTCCCTAACTGAATATAAAAAGGAAGTAAATGGGCACTGGTGGCGCACACCTTTAATCCCAGCACTCAGGAGGCAGAGGCGGGTGGATCTCTGTGAGTTCGAGGCCAGCCTGGTCTACAGAGCGAGTTCCAGAACAGCCAAGGCTGCACAGAGAAACCCTGTCTCAACACCCTCCCCCCTCAAAAAAAAAAAAAAAAAACCCAAACCAAAACAAATAAAACCCCAAAATCTGAAAAAAAGTTAAAAATAAAATGTATTTTATATATGCTTTTTTTTTTTTTTTTTTTTTTGTTTTTTTGTTTTTCGAGACAAGGTTTCTCTGTGTAGCTTTGCGCCTTTCCTGGGACTCCCTTGGTAGTCCAGGCTGGCCTCGAACTCACAGAGATCCACCTGGCTCTGCCTCCTGAGTGCTGGGATTAAAGGCGTGCGCCACCACCGCCTGGCAATGCATTTTTAAAATTATCTTTTCCCTAGGGTGGGACACCTTGCTCAGCCTTGACACAGGGGGGAGTGGGTTGGTCCTGCCCCAACTTGGTATGCCAGCCTGTGTTAACTCCCCAAGGGAGGCGTTACCCCCCATGAGGAGTGGATGGGGGTGGGAGGAGTTGGGGGAAAGTGGGAGAAGAGGAAAGAGAGGGAACTGTGGTTGTTATGTAAAATGAAAAAAATTTAGGTAAAAAAATAAAATAAAAATTATCTTTTATCACCTTACATTGTTTTTAAAGTAGGTAAAGGCTATATAATCTTAGTTAAAAAACCATTTAATGTTTATAACCTTAAAATTTCACAAATTCTTTTTGAACTTAGAGTTAAAAAGGATTATCAATAGGCTTGAAGTCTACAGACTTACCCGGAATCCTCTATGGAGTCTGTCTTTCATAATTCCAATAAACTCTTTGTAACTTAACTGGTCATCTTTGTCAACATCAAAAATCTTGAAGACGGTGTTGACCAAATGTGGGGAAAGTTTCAGTCCAGTAGCTACATAGACAGCACGTTTAAATTCATCTGAATAAGAGTCCCAAAAAAGAAAATGCGGTGTCTTTTTTAGTATATGATGCCAATTACTGAGAAGGCAGTAAAAAGTTGTTGTTGTTGTTTTTTTTCTAAACATGAGCCACGATGGCAGACAGCACATGACTTCCACTAAGCATGCTGCCTTTCAGGGAAAAAGAAGACACTGTGGTTTAATGAACAAGGCAGGGCTCTATGGTTATTAATACACTCTCAATCAATGAATGTTGAAGGAGCAGCTGCTGTCAGCAAGAGACACTTTAGAGGTTATTAGGATAAATAATTCCCAAGACACAGTTCAGATGGGAGACAAGACTGGCAGATACAACCATTAGACAGGATCCCACAGAACATTCTGGAAAAGTGCTCTTGAGAATTTGGAGAGGAGAGATTAATTCTGTCTACAGTGTGAACGAGGGAGGAGGGAGGAAGGGCCAGAGAGAGATTTCAAAAGGCTCTGATTATGCAGTGAGCTAAGCCCCAAAGGGAGTAAGGTTTCAGCAGTGGACTTGAGAGAACCTGGAGGAACATGTGCTGTGAGGGAGCAGAGACTGCAGGCTGTGTTGACAATGGGATGTCCCCCTGGTGAGGGAGAACAGAGGACTGGGGACCCAGGGAAGCGCTGCATAGACGGTGAGGTCAGGAACCTGTCCACTCTCCAACAGACAATTGGGAAACTTGAAGTTTTCCACAGCAGTTATACTAAAGAAAGGTTGATTTCTGTTTGAGGGGAGTCTTCCATGTGTAATGTGTTTCAGGACTAGCTAGCGGAAGGAATGCCACTTAGGTGGCTACTGCAAATACCTTTTAAGAAGTAACTGCCTGAATTGATGGGCTGACAGCAGCAAAAGCAAAAGATATTATTCCAAACATTTGAAAAAGCGACACAACAAAAATTTTCTTGTTTCCTAGTTCCAGAAAATAAGACAGCAACTTTCTGCTCTGAACCAAATAAACTAATTTCTTTTAAAGGATATATTATTCTAGTAACATATACTACATATTAAATATATGATATATTTATATCATTTGTGATATCAATATTTATGCCATATATATAATTTGTGGATATATATATATATATATATATATATATATAAATTTGTGATAAAATACATCATTTGTGAAGACATGCATTCCAACGTTTGAGCATATAGTTTAGAGAAAGAATGAAAAATAAAATAAAAAAATTTTCAGGTTTCTTTTAATTCAATGAATAAAATGAGGCTATACAACAGACATTAACATGTGGGTGTTGAGTGTTTTTGAAGCTGGCAATTTGAATCCAGGCCCTCATGGTTCAATGAGAGAAGTAATTATCATTAATGTTTAGGGTGTGTAGTTTGGCTTTTCCCTAGAATTTGAGAATAAAAAAACTGAAGACTATAATTTGAGATCTAAGATAGTAGATTCTGGCAGAGGCAGGTAAAGTTGCCTTAAAGACACAATCAGACCCTACACAGCAAGAAGTTTTAATAAGGACATGGTTACAAGAGAGAGAATCCTAGAAAAAGGATTTAGCTTTTGAGTCAACCCATGAGCAAGGGGTGAGGTAGTCCTGAAGACATCAATATTTGAAGTTATATGACAGATGTATTCCTTTGAAAATAAAAAAAGGTAATCAATTTCATATATCAGCCTCAAAAATTCGTTAATTTAAGTTAATGGCTAAGTGGCTCTGCTCATGTATTTCTGGTTTCTGATTAGGCAAAGATCAGTGAGAATTTGTGGAGCTGGTGAATGGCCAGCAGCAGCTTTTACAGGCTGCCATGTGTTTCCTGATGTTACCAAGTAACCGCAAGATTTCTTCTTAGACCTTTTACAATAAACATTATTAGTTCTTCCTCATAATATGAAATTAAAGGGCAAAAATAAACCCAGTAAGAAAACAGCACATTCCCCTAGAGTTTGCATACTTTTCAGTTTCAGCACTGATTTCCCACAGAAATTATAAAACCAGACTTTCAGGTAAGCTGATGCACCATCAAACATCCCTCACTAGCCTCTTCCAAAGTCTCTGGGAACAAGGTAGGGACACTTTGACTTTCAAATTTTGAAGAATGATTTCTTACCTTGTCCTATAGAACGGCTTGCAAAGTTATACATATTGAGGGCTATTGCAAAGTCTTCTAAGTTGTTCAGAAATTGGAAAAATGACCTGAACTCATCAAATGTGATGCCCTATTTTGGGAAAGTAAATGTGAAACAATTAGTATTGACAAATGTATTAATATAAGTGCAACATACTTAATAGAGGGAAACATGAGGATCTGCAATATATTTCATAAGCAAGCACTCCACGCATACTTGGAAAAATTCTCTAAATAAACTGCAGGACTCACTCAGACTTATTTCTATTGGGTAGTGCTGCTCCTGTAATAATAGTAAACTGTTAATACATTGCCCTGTCAACACCAAGTTTCAAAAAGTGTTTGAATAAAAATGACTGGAAAAGTTCCAATTATGATAATCCTCTAAACACCATTTCCTAAACCTATAGGAAACCCATGAGAACATGCTTGCTTTGTGTATATATTCTTTCACATGATTCGGCATCGGGCTGTCAATATGTTTATAATGAGAATACACAAATTAGGATGTGGAGGAAGCGTCAACTGTCATCGACTGAACCTGTTCAGTTGTTCAAATGCAGCCAAGTCACCAGGGCAAGTGCAGTGACTGCAGAGGAGGCACTGAGGGGTCCAACACAGGAGGGCACAAAACAATGAAGGAGTGTGCTCAGAACCACCTGTTCTGGGATGGTCCATGGCTGCAGTTCTACCATTGGTGTTACTTCAGTTAAATAGGAACAGTATTTGAAATAAAAATAATGCATCTCAGGTTTGGATATAATCAGCAAAATTTAAGTATCAAGAAATATACAGGAAAAAAAAAAGCACAGAGCCAACAGTTCCAGCTTCCCAAATCCTAGCTTTGACTGCAGGGGTAAGTGAAGAGGAGGAGCATCAGTAAGGAAGTGCTGGGCGGCCAGGGAACTAATGAGGAAGGTAGTTTTCCAGACCCCCAACATTAAAATGTATAAGCATGGTGACAGCTTTCTATTTACTCTTAGTATCACCATTAGAATTACATCTAAGCCCCCTTTTTTAGTTTCCAGAGTTCTATCAGACCCGACATGTGTCTAACTCTCCCTTCTCATCACCTGCTCTTTTCCTGGTTATTTATGAAATGTCAAAGCATTTTCTTAAATAAACTAAGCTTGCTCTGTCCCCAGGCCCTTGCCATTTATTGCTCTCCTGTCTAAAGTACTCTCTGTCCGATTTTTGCACAGCTCATTAGTAACAGGCTTTGTTCAAAGCTACTTTAGAAGAACTCTAACAGCCTGCCTTCTTTTTAGTCTCCATATTCTCGGTCCTTTTCATAGCATTTCTCTTTATTTGGAAGTAGATCTCTTTTTGTTTACTTATTTGTTTTTCTAGTAAAATATATTTCAATTGAACAAGGATTTGCCTATCTTGTCATTTTATCATTTGTACCTTGAATAAGGCCTTATATTTAATATCTGTGAATGAAAATGAAATTAGTTTAGAAATGTTAAGTGCCATTCAGGTATCAGCTTGTCTTTCTTTTCTGTTGCTGGGGAGAAGAGGATGAGGGTGGATGGAAGAGAAAGATTTCAGTAGAGTACAGTAGAAGAATCATTTGCTTAGAGAATCTTGGGTTTGAGTGGATAAGTGTCCAAAGTCCTTAGTTCCTCCTTTTCCAAAAGAAATATGCCAATGCCTGCAAGACTGTTCTGAGAGATGATAGAAGAATCCAGAACAAGCAATCACCATGTGATAAGAATTGAAGAGATACTTTCACAAATTAGGTTTATAGAAAAGCTGAATTTAACTTCAGATTTTTTTATTTTGAAATAATTTTAGATATAAAAATTAATTGTAAAAAAAACTATGAAAAGTTTCTATAAGGTCATCCTGCAATTTGATCTTCTGAATTAGTTTTTCATGTTTCCCTTAGAAAAAGAAAACAAATAAATTAAAAGTCCTATATAATATTATACAGCTTGAATAGCATAATTTATGATTTTTATTTCAAGGGAATTATCTACTGGTTAGAAAAATCCAGCTTAGTGGGTAAAACAGATAAAAGTCCTTTGATTAAAAGATAATGTAAAGTAATAGCCAAATGCATCAAGCCTTTTTTTCTTTTCATTCCTTAGAGCAGTCTGAGAATTGTTAACACTGTCACAGTGTGTCCACTCTATAAACAAACTCAAACTATTTGCAAGTTTTCTTGAACAGTTTAACCTGATCCTTCCATAAACAAACAGAAGGCAATCGATCCCAAACATCCCAGGCTTAAAGGGATACTTGTGACAGCAGTTTCTATTTGGTTGCAATGAAGCATTCAAACACCACTAGATAATGCAACTGCTCCAAAGGGCTGACACCACATTGGCTACCAAGCAAATACACAAGGAGTTGTCCTGGTTCCTAACTATTCCTGGCATCCAAACTTGTTGAAAAGCCTCACTTCAAATGCAGATAAGATCAGTCACTCAGCAATGGCACCTTTCAAATGACATTTTATTAGAGGTGCTATCCAAATGAGCAGAGGGTGACAGGAAAAATGTCAATATCAGCTGCCTTACATGTTTCCATACTAGTCAAAATACCTAACTCACCAGAATCCTCTTGAAAAATAACAATAGTCATAACCTGAAAAAACAAATAGTCTTAAAGATTTTTCAGTATTTCTAAGAATACTGATCTCTACTTGAATTAAAAATCAACAGTCCTTGGGATAGAGAGGGAAAGAATGAAAAATATCCAAAAACAGTTTTTAATTCACAGAGGAGCTAAATTAATAAAATTGTTTAATCAGTCTATAAAATGCCATTTACTGGATAATGTGTTTCAATATAATGGATGTAACAAAATCAACACAAGGGGTTAAACACCTTTTCTTCAGGTATACTGTAGCGCACATTTTCCAAAAACACTGATGTATTTTCCACATTAGTGTACCGTAGAAGAATATGGGCAAAATCTTCTTCACTGATAGTATTCATTCCATTAGAGTAGGAAAGAAATTCTATTTCTAGAACTTCTGTTTGTAGGTTATCCATAAATCTGTGATAAAATAATGAAAAATAAACAAGGTAAATGATCAAACGTTTACTGTCCTAGAAAAGGTTACATGGAAATAATTTAACTATATAATGGCTCAAAACTTCACACTGAGGAATTACTGCTCAGTGATGTAGTACCTGAACATATAGCTTCCTTCTCGGGGCCTGAGCCTGCCCATCTGCAAAATGATTAACAGCACCTTGTTGGGTAGAAATGATGCTGGTCATTATTACTGTGGCTTATTGATACTGAGGAATTTTCTTCTAAATACATAAGCTATAACAATCCACATGTCCTCATTTTTTATCTTTCAATAACTATATATCATAAATATAACCAGAGACAGCAGTACCAATGGACAGGACATGGAGTGGCACAGTATCATTGTACTAGATGATTTCCCAAGGTCACTTGACTTCAGCAGTCTAATCATTTTCAACAGAAATTTAGCTCACCTATAAAAATCTTCAAAGTTGAGCTCTGCTTTTCCTTTCTTTCCAAAAAAGTGTACCAGAAGTGTAGTGTCTGCTACTAGGCTTGTGATGTCATCAGCACGCTTAAAACATAATATAAAATTATCAATAAAAAGAAAAAACAAAGCAAAGCAGGATATTCAATATCCCTCCAAGAATTTTATCAAAATATAAATCAAGAGGGGCTGGAGAGATAGATCAATGGTTAAGAGCACTTGTTCCTCTTCTAGAGGACTCAGATTTGGTTCCCAACACCCACAAAGTGGCTCACAACCACCTACAACTCCAGCTCCAGGGCATCTAAAACCTTCTCATCTCCACAGGCTTAGGTGCATACATGGTACACATATATATATGCAGGCTAAACACTTTTACATATAAAAATAAAAACATCTAAAAAACCAAGAATGTAAAGTACAAACACTAGAATGAAGAGCAAAGGCTATAATCATGAATGTAACTATGAATATAACTAACAAAAGTGGTCAAATTTTAAAAACAGAAATTTGAGCAATATTGATCTTTATTCTCGAAAATTTTAAAGTCATAATTATATTTTAAGAGTATTCTATCTGAAATTATTATGCACATAGGGTACCTACACTTTATATTATCTAAAATAGTTCAGTTATTTAGACATCATTTAACTATGCTGCTTTTATTTAAGTAGTTAGGTTTTTTTTCTAAACAACCTGAAAAATTCATTCAAAAGACGGATATTCTCCAAAAATACTGACTAAATGGAGATGACAGGGAATGAACCCAAAATTTCATAAAACAGCTTCTTCTAACCATATCTATTATGTAACAACTGATTTTAAAAATGTGATACTGCTTTTAGAAAGAGGAACTAGAGTAGTAATTTATCACTATACTTTTTTCAACACAAAGCATGATGTAATTTTTTGAATGGTCAAGAAGTTAATTGCACAGGATTTCCATTCTTTACTCAACTTACTCAACTGTGTCTCAGCACACACACTCCTAATGTGTCTGATTATGGCCTCACAGAATGGAATTACTTTACACAACTTCCCACCTCAGGGCTTCATCAGCCTTTCCCTCTTCTTCCCTTTCCCTATCTACTTTGTCATCAACTCATACTTCCTTTATAGATTCAAGTACACAGTTCAGGAAATTCAACTGATTACACCTCACAGGAAACGCAGGGAAAGGAGGCAGTGCCACTATTTCCAATATTAGTAAGCAGTTGTGTATGGCCACCGAAGGTGAGGAGCTGAAACAGCACTGAGCAGACGTCATGAAGCAGACTGGTTTTCTAAAAGAGATGGGTCTCATGGCAGTTGTGTCTCACTCATCGTCCACAAGGTACATTTTGATATTGATTTGATTCCTTAAAATGCTCTCCCCTGTCTTTCACAAAGGTAGTTCTAGTTTTCAACATTAGTCGGATCTCACTTCCTTTTTCTTGGACCAAATATTATTTTCTACTACTGATTAGCATGTGGCAGAATTAGATTGCCTGCTTCCCCTCTTAGATGTTCCTCTTCCACTCCATTAAACTGCTTTCTAAAAAGTGATCCATGCTACTTGGATTATTCAAGTCACACCTGAGCCAGGTGTGATTGCACATGACTTTAATTCCGGAAATTGGGAGGCTGAGACAGGAGAATCAAGAATTCAAGGCCAGCCTTAGCCACCTACTGAGTTCCAGCCCAGCTGGTGCTATATGAAACCCTATTTCAAAAAACTAAATTCAAAGTCAAATCCAACACTCCCCCCAAAATGCCAAAAACTCTTATCTTGTAGAGAATCTGTACTTGAAATAAGTTAAATAAGTTAAATAAGTTAAAATTATTTAAATTCTTCAGTAATTACCCATTTTTAAATAATTAAGTATAGATTTTCTTACTGGTCTCCAGTATACAGCTTCCTTATACTCTGAAAGAGCCCTAGTACCCACTCTAATTTTAATTTACAGAGAAGTCCAAAACCCTGAGGAAAGCCCTACAAGGGCCTCTGAAGATTGAAGATGGATAAGCCCCATCTGGTTGTTAGTGGAGAAAATAATACAGGTAGCTGAGTATTACACACTATCTTAAAAATATTTGTTTGAAAAGCATATTATGAATGTCAAATAATGAGGGAGGTACTAGCCCTTCTTTCAGTGTCCCATGCAAGGAAAGAGTAACCTTGAGAGACACTAATTCACCAGTAACTGGGTAGAGGAGGTAGTCTGTTCTAGTGGGAAAAGGACAGGATTTCAAATCAGAGGTATTGACTGCACTGACAATCTTGTCCATAACAACTGGGAGGAGAATGCTACACTATGAAGATAAAGCGTACACATGGTAGTCACAGGTGCAAACATCACTGGGAAAAATCAACTGATGTTAATCATATGTACTTTTATGATTTTTGTATAGTCTCACCCAATCAATTTATTTTGCTCTGAAGAGCTCAGCTGTAAACAGGGTGGTCGCAGAGATCTTGGAGGCATGCTCAAGTTGAGCTTAAGAGTAGGCACTAGCCTATTAGCATGAAAAACCAGTGCACCTGTCTGGAAGCTGGAGAAATGGAGCAGGAGATAGATTTTTCCTGTTTCTTAGTTGAAAATTGTTTTCATATAATCTATTCTGATCATGTTTTACTTATTTTTGTCAAGTTTAAGAAGTTGAAACATGACTTAGATGACAAAACAAAAGTAATTTCCAAAGATAATGGGAAAATAAAGATTGTTACATGGTACATGCTTACTTATTTGTTACTGAAATTAAATCTGTATAAACTTCAAACAAGATTTTCAAATTGGGAGGCTGCAGGAGCACCAGGAGTGAGGGGACATGGGTAACATAGTACTGCCTTCGTGCTGTGACATCCCCACATGTCAGGATGATGCTAGCCTACGATGAGGACTGTGTACACAGGCTGCTGGAATGAGCTCACTGAGCAGGGAAGACCCTCGCTCGCAGTCTTCAGCGTCCAATCTTACTAGCTTCAGTTTGCATTCACTCAGGTAATCCAGTTCAACAGAGGGTAAGTAACACTGGACATCAGAGAAAAAACACAACCAAACAAAAGACCAGAAAATGCAAATGGGGATCCCATTCCCTTAGGAAAACTGAGCCCTGGAGCCACTGAAAGGTATACCAGTGTTCTGGTATCCTAGCGATTTACATAAATTACAAGAAGGTGGAAGCAAAAATAAAAGACTTTATCCTTCTGATTCTTGTGCTTATTGTTAAAAAATGAGTTCAGATGTTTTCATAACAAAGTGAAAAAAACCAAAGAAACCCTCATGGGCCATTTACACACAAGTTCACTATCTAAATCTTCTTTGGCTAAAAGTTATATCAGCTGGGAAGTAGCTCAGAGGATATAGTTCAGAGGTAGTGGGGTATCGGTCAGTGGTAGTATGTGTTAGCATGGTTCAGTCCTCAGCCCAATAATAAATGCATGACCAAAGTTATTTTAAATTTCAAAATTCATATAAAATACAAATTCATCAAACTATAAAAATAAAGTTTTGCTGAGCAGTGGTGGCGCACGCCTTTAATCCCAGCACTCAGGAGGCAGAGCCAGGTGGATCTCTGTGAGTTCCAGGCCAACCTGGTCTACAAAGTGAGTTCCAAGACAGGCTCCAAAGCTACATAGAGAAACCCTGTCTCGAAGAAAACAAAAAAATACAAAAATAAATAAATAAAGTTTTAAGATAGCCTTTTAACAAATTCTATTGATTACAAAGTGAAAATAACCTTAATCTCCAGCAAAGGGAAACCTTCAAACATAATATAATGAAGTTTCTGAATAATCCAATGTATAAGTAGAACTTATAGCATAAAAAAATTAAATTTTATTTGTAAAAATCAAAATTAATTTTTAGAATACTCGTATTGACAAACTGATTTCAGTAATTGTATGATATACCTGTCATATTGTACTCTGAATTATTTTGGTCAGAAATTAGTGCCAGCTGTGACATATGCAAATTTTCTTTATATAATTTTACAGTAATTTTAAAAACATGATTTCTCTATAACTTAAAATACCAATAGTTGTAAGTTGCTGTGGAATGTTGCTCGAAATCTATAATGGTCTTTTAATAGAGACCCGGAGCCAGATATTGGGGTAAATGCTGGAAGATCAGAGAGACAAAGGAGCAAACCACTGCCATGTCTCACCTCACCAACTCCAAGAATCCTCTGTTTGAAAGCCTCTGAATCCTTGGCTGGAAAGCTTTTCTTAGCTGAAAAGGGACCTTAGTTCCTGTCTCCTCATGCCTTATATACCTTTCTCCACTCAGTCATATCACTTCCTTCTTAGTGCTGGGATTAAAGGTGTGTGTGTTTCCTAAGCAAAGGCATGAGGTCTCAAGTGCTGGGATTAAAGGCATGTGATTACCAAGTACTGGGATTAAAGGTATGTGCCACTACTGACTGGCTCTGTCTCTCTCCTAGACTGAGTCAATCTCACATATTCCTAGGTGGCTTTGAATTAAAAGTGCTAGGATTAAAGGTGTGTGCCACCACTGCCTGGCATCTATGTTTAATCTAGGGGCTTGTTCTGTCCTATGACCTTCAGGCAAGTTTTATTAGAATACACAATCTATCACCACAGTGGAATGAGAAAATGAGAGGCTAAGATCTAATTTACCTATAATATTTTAAGAGGTGTATATTATATGTATTGAAGAAATACAAAAGTAATTTTCCAAGCTTTCCTTCTGAATCAGCCAAATCTTGAAGTAAGATACTAAGAATGATTCTGTCATACTAGTATCCATAGTAACACGAGAAATTATAATAAGTTGTGACATAGTTAATTCTCATTTTCTACAATGTAGGAGTGCAGTAACAGAGATAATCTCTAAATAAGGCTTCACCTCAAAGTTTAAAGAAAGAGAAAAGCAAAAGAAGTCACAAATGGTTGTGATGTTTAGTTTTGTTTTTTTAAGACAGGGTCTCTCAATGAACCTGGGCTTTGCCAATGCAGCCAGATTGCGGCCAGCAAGCAGCAGCAACTGTCCTCTGGTCTCCTTCTCACTGTTGGCACTAAAGAATATATAATGTGCCTCTGCACCAGCCCTTCCTGTAGATGCAGGAGGGTTGAACTCAGGTCCTCACACTTGCATGTCAAGCACTCTAACGCTGAATCATAAGTTAATGTTTATAAAGAAATGAGATGTTAAGTTTAAAATTAAGATTTAAAGCCTGTCGATGGGGGCATTACATGGAATAGAGGAAGAGAGGCAGTCCGTCCCGAGTGCAGCACTAAAGTGTCTTCCAGCATCAAATTCAAACAATAATAAAACAGAATCTGAGTTGGTTGGATTTTTATTTAAACATGGACTGGCAATCTTAAGTAATATAATGGTAAACAACTTCTCCACTCAGTGACTGAATGTTCATATCACACCATCTCATACGTCTGCACCCCTGCCCTTGGTAAACTGTTCACTATTAGTTGAGGAAGTTTAATTGTTAAAATCTAACATAAGAGCCAGCCATCTTTTATAAGTGAAGCATTTTAGTATTTCATATAACACTATTATGTTGGAGGATAAATAGTTTCAGTGAATTTACAAATCTGTATTACTATTTCAAGTTTCTAGGAAGTGGTCCTTAATTAAAACTTACTATTATTCCCTTTTAAATAAGTGGGAAAGTTATGCTGTATATAATAAACAAGTTCAATCAACACAGACAATAATAACAGGCATCTCCTGTCAGTATAATAAACATATTAAAGTATTCTTTCTATATAGTAATTATATATATGGCACATAGTACTTATCAATTTACTAAAAAAAAAAGCAAAGAGATAGAAAAATAAATAGTACATTGTTTTTGCTTCATCTTGTGAGTCTAAAAGCAAACGAAGATTAGATTAACAAAATGGATCTAGTGCAAGGACCACATGGAGGTTTCATTGTACCTCTGCGAGGTCTGAAAAGAGCGCTTGGCTTGTGTTACGTCTCAGGGTATCCCAGTAGCTTCTGGAGACGAGTTCCTCAGTATCTGTTTTAAGTACCTGTAGAAGTTTTAAGAACAACATCACAAATCTCAAGAATTGTCACAGTGAACGGTAACTTACATGCTTTACATCTCTGTTAACCAAGAGAAGAGAGACCATTCACTTATCTTTATTGTCTTTCTACTGTGCACAACAGTATTATATTACGCAGCTAGCAGAGCCATGGTGCTTTCAGGGATGGAATGGTATATAACCTGTTTCTAAGCACAATGTGGCTATGTCAAAAAGACTCAGGCTCTCCAATCTCGTCTGCCTCTTTGTTGAGGCATACATTAACTTCTACAAAAGTATGACATAAAATTTTTATTTACACGTTGTGTGAAGTGGTATATGGAGATCTTTGTAAATTTGTAGTAACCTGTTAAATGCTTATCTAAATTAGAAATTAGTTGTTTTATCATCCATCTTATTTGACTAACAAAATCAAAATAAACTTATCCATACCTGGTAGATACAAACTTTAATACAAAGCTTGTAAAAAATATATGTAATTGTTTAAATCAAATGTTGTAAACAAAGTCCCAGGATTTGACAGCTGTGTCTACGATGAAAGATAAGGTACATTTAATGCTTACAAGGGCAGGGCACTCATTTTCATCTCATTATTGGATGATGTGATGGAATTTCTCAGGTTAAAAACTACAAGCCTAACCTGAAACTCTAAACAAAAATAATTAAAATCAGCTTCTGTCTGGACATTCAATGAATACTCAAGTTATTAGGCTTACAGATCTTTTGGTTACTGAGAGAAGACAATGTACTATGGCAGGATAATAGAACTTTTCTTTTTCTTCTGTCTTACTTTAAAAAAGTGGGTATCGTGAGGTGTGGTGCATGTGGCTGTATTAGCAGATACTTTAGAATCCAGGGCAGGAGGTTATTTGGTCCTAAAAGCTCAAGGCCTGATTGGACAACATGGTGAGATTCTGTCTCAAGCAAAGAGACAGGAAATCTGGAGGGAATACTAAAACTATAGCATGCACTGGGAATATTTCAAAGGTATTTTTTAATTTTAACCAGCTTCATAATTAACTAGACAACACTGTCCACTGTTAATAATTTGCTGATAATAAAGTATTGTTTAGCTGGAAACAGGTACCAGACATACATACTTGTGTATCAGTGTGGTCCCAGGACAAGGATCTGTCATTACGGCTTTTTCTAACTGAACTGACGATAAGCAGTTACAAACTGCACTGGGAAAACTGGGTTAAAAAAAGCAGCACAGTGCATCTCCCTTATTCAAACTAGAAAAAGCCTCAAAAGATGCTAGATTAACAACTTACTCTCATTTTATTGACCTATTTTGAACATTTTTTTTTGCATTTTACCTGTCACTTAGGACATTAAAACACGATTTTAAAAAAGGTTTATTAAACTCACTAAACTAGAAAATATGGCTTATTGGCCACTATCACAAGAGCTGATAGAAACAACTTAGTGAATCCATGCTAGTAGGTTTTTACATGTATAGAAAAGAACCAGATTTATGAAATTAGAGCAACACCCTGCATGGTTCAGTATCAGACTTTCTGCCCCTTTCAACTTCCCTACAGTTGAAAACACTAAAATGTATATTTGTCTGTGTACTTTACTACTTTAAAATTTAGATATTAAAACATAACAGTTACATAGCTGTTATAGAATAATATTTTAAGGTATATTACTTTTGTTTCTGCTCTGGAACATTTGTTTAATGAAGCAAAGATGTGTTTGATTAAATAAAATTCACCTGCAGTCAGGAGGTTGAGTTAGCAACTAGCTGACAGGAAGTGGTAGGGAGGAGCCAGGGGGAGAAGGGTTTTTAACAGAGGGGCGAGGAGACGCATGAGGGCTTTTTGGAGGACGTGAGCAAGGAAAAGAGGTGAGCTACTTGTTGTTCAGCCTCTCTGAAGAGCAGAGTTCCACCTTAACCTCTGAATCTTGAGTTTTCTAGAGGGACACAGATTTAGTTAAGCTCCCTTGTAACTCTGAAAGAGTTGGAGCCTGATGGAACAGATTTCCCTCCGGCTACGGCCCTTGCAACCTAACCTAACTGGTAGTGGTGGAGGCTTAAAAGGCAGCAACAGTTTAAAAAAGAGGACAACATATAGCCCCCCTCAAAGCTTTTCTCTCATTCTTTACTTAGCTCCAGAGATGAAATCATGCTAGAATATGAGTTTCCAGAATGCTGTGATTGTCTATATTTCCTGTTTTTTCTTATACCATCTTTTAAAATATAATGCTTCTGAGGGAAGATCCAATATTCTCACAGCTATTATTGCAATTAAAAGATAGTTGCTAGATCACCTCCTGCTGGGCATCCTCACTGATGCCCATATATGTCTGGTTTTAAGCTAGTATTAATTTTTAATGAATAACTTTAATGTTATAATTAAGAGTGAACTTTTGTAACATGCAAAACTAGTAGGAAGATTTAATAGCAGAAAAAAAAATAAGTAGGGCTTTGTAATAAAGCCCTTATCTTCAAGTAAATAAGAAGCTCAAACTAGAATTTAAAAGTAAGAAATATAGAGCAAATTCAATATCAGAATACAGGTGTACAGGTTAAAGAAAGATACGAAATTACAACTGTAACCAGGAACTAAGATGTAATGAGACAGGTAGCGCTGATGCTTGGGTGTATAAACAGAAGGCAGCATGTAAAGACTTCTTGAAGACACCTCACTGTGTTATCTCAGCTTTTACCCTTTACCAGTGGAACAAGTTAACTGTGGACTTTCATTAAGAGAGAAAAGAATACATGGACTATTCATAAGAACTTCAAAAAAGGATGGAACAGGCAAAATGTTCTACCTCCTAAGTCTGACTGATATCAATATCTTTATCTATCTCTATCTATATATTTTGGTCAAAACCCAGAGGCTAGGTATTAATGGAACTTCTTAAACTTTGCAGATTTGAGAATTTCTAAGTTGTTTTCTTTTTTCGGTCAAAGCAGAGTCCTATTTAAGTGATTCTCTAATATCTTGTCACTGACACCTGTGAAAGGAAGAGAGGAGTGCAGAGAAGGAGGAAACAGCAGTATCGAAGGTCAGAGGAAGTTCAGAAGACTTTGAGGTAGTGGGCTATCTCTGTGATAAGCAGAATAATGACTCCAGAAAACCATGCACAACTAAACAAATACTTTATATTCTTAAACCCACAAACAAAAACAAAACTATCTTTATATTTTGTATTACTTGTGTCAAGCAAGCAGGCAAACAACAACAACAACAAAAGTACTCCAGTAATCATGGAATTGTGATAAATGTTGTGTTGGACTAGTTTTCTCCAGGTCTGTGAAACTCTCAGAGAGAAGCTAACAGACATGTAAGACAAAATGAGCGTCCTTGAAGGCTCCAGAAAGGAGTAACAGAGAAATGGGAAATACCATTCAGGTAAAGACAGTGAATTCTCAATAATAAAAGGGAGGAAATAATTTCCTCTTTTTGAAGCTCAACAAATCTCACCACAGATAAAAGGAGGGCAGAGGCTCACTGCAGCAAGACTGCAGAAAACAAAGACAGAAGACTTAAAATGACCTTCTGCTGTACTCATTGAGATCAGTGCTGTGCTCCACCATCATCAGAGAAGCTTCCTCCTGCAGGAGATCGGAGCTAACACAGAGACCCACAGCAGAAATTATGGAGAGAGTGAGAAACCTTGGAATACTCCACCCTAGAGAGGATTTTATCAAAATGAACACATCCTTCTGTTGGTTTCTCTTGTCCAATTCTGATGTGTTAGTTTTATCTTATTTTATAATGTTTTACTATTATTCCTTAAAGGCTGTACGTTTTCTAATGAGAGAGAGAAAGGATGTGTATCTGGAAATGAGGAGAGGTAGGGAGGAACTGGGAGAAGTAGAGGGAGGGGAAACTGAAATCAAGATGTATTATATGAGAAAAAAATCTATATTCAATAAAAAGTGGGAGGAAAGCTGGGCTGGGAGGAGACCCAGGTTACCTACAAAAGAAAAATAATTACATTCAGAGTTGACCTTTTTAATTTCAATTATAGAAGCCAAAAACCAGTGTATAAATTTTATCATCACATGCAAGAAACATAAGTTAGAATAAAGACATTCTAAAAGAGAGGTTTTGATTGTTTTTCTTTTTGGTTGTGATGTGCATTGAACTCCGGGCCTTAGACATGCTAAAGCTCAATGGTAGAGTTACCACTGAGCTATATTGCTAAATCATCGTTTTATTTTTGAATTTACAAAGGGACTTGCTCTTGAGGACACATTTGATGACTATTAGACTACAAGGTTTAGAAAGGGGTGAGGTTAAATTGATCATGTGGACTGGTGGGTACACAGGAATATACATGCATTAATGTATGTATGCTTAGGGCAGAAGTCAACAATAGTTATCTTCCTCCTTTACTCCTCACCTTATGTTCCGAGACAAGACACTGTCCCTGGAGTTCATCAGTTTTTCAGACTAGCTGGCCATGAGCTTCAGGGACCTATCTATTCTTGTCCCACATTCCCTCGTGCAGGGGTTACATACATATCCCACCTACGTGGCCTGGATGTGGACTCTGGGTATCAGAACTCAGAACGCAAGTACTTTACAAATGGAGCCACCTTATCTCCAAACAGAAATGGAGTAAAGAAAGGTAAATATGCGGGTAATTCTAAAGGAACATCAATGGCCAGGAGTGGTGGCCCAAGCCTGAAATCCCAGCACTTGAGAGGCTGAGGCTGGAGAATCAGGAGCACAAAGGCAGTCCAAGCTACACAGTACAATTGTCATCGATACTGATGGCATGTATTTAAAATATCTAATTTGAGATATTACAAAAAAGAATAATGCAGACACTATACAAGAATTCCAATTAACTATGCTGAGAGACATCAAAGATGGTTAAGCATCCTAAGCTTATGACTAAGGAAGGGCATAAAGACATTGCCTAAGACTTTATTAGTTTAGGTATATTCATCAAAAACTCAGAAGGCAAACACAGAAATATATTAAATATCTTCTAAATTTAAATAAAAATAAATTTCAGTTAATCTAGAGAAGGAAAGGTAATGCAAGGAAAAAAGAATGATTTACAGAGAGAAATAACTAAATTCTACATCAGAAAGTAATCATACTAATGTAAATCTACTGAATTTTTTAATTAAAAGGCACAGGCTATCAGCCAGGAGAAGAGAGATCAGTGTAATTCACAAAATATACCATTAAAAATTTCCCAGTTAATGAGAAAAGCAAAGTTAAAAAGGTATAACAGGCTACTGTTGATGAGAGAGCAGTAATTAGCACCAGCTTGCTCACTGAGAATAAATGAAAAGGCCAGGCAAAATCTAACATAGACACATCTTACAGAGTCTTACAAATGCTATTTGCCTTTGGTTTTGTATTCGTACTTGTACTGATAGCACAAAAGCAACAAATGGAAGTCCTGGTAACTCTGTACAATGAGAAGAGACCATGTCATCAAAGACCACAGTCACCACATTCTTCAGTGCCGCACACTAACAGCTGGAGAAAAGAAGACTCCACCTAAGAAGGCACTTGCTGGAACCTTTGAGTACAGATTTTCAGTATCTGGTGTGGCAAACAGGAAGAAGTCATGGAGCACTTTTGCTACATACTCAGGTGCTGGAACTGCCCAGCAAGACAGTCTGTGTTACAAGTTCAACTATCTACTTTCTCTATGAACCACCACGTTCTCTTGACAGAACAACTAATAAAGCCATGCTTGCAGCAATAAAGGAGACTGAGCTGGAACTACCTACAAGGATTCCATTCATGTAATGTGCAAAATGAATAAACTGAAGCATAGTTTTCAGAATGCACAGGTAGTGAAGCAAAGATCTATCTAGAATCCACAGTTGCAGTGATCATTTGGGGGACAGAGAAGAATTATGACTGGAGAGAGTATAAAGGAGATTCTGGAGCATAGCAACATTGCATTTCTTGAGCTATTTTATAATTATTCATTTTAATTTGTATTAAGTTTGAGTTAAAATACATTTTTAAAATCAAGAAAAGTTTCATTATCATTACAGGAAATGATGATTAAAAAACCTAAAATATGAATTAAAAAGGTAGTCTATACTTAATAACTAAACTAGAGGTTGTATAAGGCAAAATATACCCAGAAATCTAGTATAATACCTACTGGAGATTTGGCTAAGACATAATTAATCTATATTTTTACACATGTAATAATGTCTCAGAATAGATAAAATAAAAATGAAGAACATCTTGAGTAGACAATAAATCTATAAATGTAACATTTAGCTTAATATACCAACTGACAGATCAAGCAGGCAAACCTGCCAGTAATGACAGAGAAGACTGCAAACACACAATTCACATGCATAGTAATATATATTTTAAGAAAATATATATTTTAAAATATATGTACAGATATATTACAGCTCTGCATCATAAACCAAAAAAGACACATTCTTTTAAAATAGAGCTCATTTATGAATATCAACATTTAGTCCATAAAACACAGTTCAACATATGATGAAATAACAGAAATGGTATTAAAAATTGACATATTTTCTGATAGTAATGTAATTAGGGTAGTTAAGAACAATATTCTAAAAAACTGTATGGGGGATGCTGAAGTCAAACATTCTTGATCTCTGAGTTATTTGAATTAATCATTATTTTGATTTTCTTTTTATACTTTTTTCATCACGGTGGAAAAATAACCAAGACTTGACTACATGAGAAAAATGAAAAGAATCGGGTTGTTTCGAGCAGAAGAGCTACTGAAGTAACTGTTATATTCATAGACACAAGGGAATAGCCTCAGTCTTTCACTGCAGCAGGGTAAGAAAACAGGCAGAACCGACTGCAGGAAGAATTCATCTTGGAACAGGCTACTTGAGAGGTCAGAGTGTCTGTCTTCATGTCCAGATACCACCTCCTTGCTGAAGGCACTTCAGGAAAATCATTACTAACTGACTTCTACTATAGAAAAAAATTTCATAAAATCAAACCAGTTCTTAAAAGAGTTAAATTATGTCATCCATTTGAGCATGTAGATCAGAAGATCATGAAGTTACATCACATTCACATGCATTTCACATGAGGACAGAAGCTGTCTTCAATAAAATAAAATGAAAAATGTGCTAACCAATAAAATAAAAAAGATAATATGTTTTCCTCATCAAGGATAATATAAATAAAATATACACTCTTTAAATCTGGCTATTGATAATCTCTTAACCCCTGAGACTGTAAAGTCTGTACAGTTTGAACTATATGGTAACTACTTATGAAATTAAAGGAACCATTAAAACTGCCATGGTTAAAAAGTGGCTCATACAATGACATGGATAATAAACCATAATGTCATAAATACTATTAACAGTATGTTTAAAGTACATATGATATTCCAATATAAGATCTGCATTCTGTAAGTTCTTACAAAATTTTAAATGATTATCAGGGAAATACTTCTAAGATTAACTAAAAATTTCTCTTATTGGGAAGCAGCTGTACATTTTATAGAAAATGTTTCCATTTCTTAGACAAATTTAAACAATCAGATATGTGAGCCCTATAGATTTGCCTTGCTCACCAATTATTCCCTGTTGTTCCTTATGAGTAGGCAGGATACCCCGTGCTTACTTGATGCTGAAACTGCATCCAGTATTTGTTCAAATCCAAATAAGTATTTTCACAGTTTAGAGTAGCTAATTAAATAGTACAGAAGGTCATATGCCCACTTTTAGAATTGTACATGACACCTTAAACACTTGCCCCTGAATTTAAGGACTTCTCAGGTAGAATTTCTATAGTTTGAGGAATCCTTTATAGGCTTGACGGATACCTGGGAAAATTAAATGAACTGCACATGTTTATAGGAAAAGGTCAGGTCTATTCTGGGCAAGTTCTTATGTGCTGGGCTAACCAATAAGTTTATTCTCAAGAGAACGGAAAAGTCACAATTAAGAAGAGCACTTACAGAAATTTTCACAACAAAAGAACAAAACTCATAATCATCTTTATGTAGTAATGTAACGAGTAGCATCTTATACATCCTTTTAATAGATCAGAGAAAATAGGCAGGCAACAGAGTTTCAGAAAAAGATGAAAACTGAAAATTAAAAAGTCTATTCATTAACATGCTTTTATTGGCATTGACCGAAGTCTGAATTTAGTTCTTAAAATACCTGTGTTCTTCAGGAAGAGAGCCTATCTGCTCTATTATTTTTGTATAACGCTTCATAAATTGCTGAAAAATATAAAATTTCAATTACTCTACCAAAATTTCTGGTGGTACTTATTCACTCACATTTATTTTAATTTACAGATATATAACTAATAAAGATATACAATTGCTTTCTATATTTTTGTCTCATAAATCAAGAAAAGAAATTTTGGGTTGATTGCATCCTACTGTATTAACAAATTCCAAAACAGTTTAAATAGCAGATATTGCTTTATATGAAGAAACAACATTATCTAATATAACAGGTGAGGGCTATATACATAAGGAACATTTAAAGTGTTGTACATACACTATTAGTAGGAGAATGGTATCCATAAAGTTGAAGACGCTGACATACAGCACAAAGGGCCAAATGAAGTGTCACATTTCAGAATGAACCCAAGTACAGCAAAAGAAAAAAAGAAAAAGACGACAAAAATAATCAATTAGGAAGGGCAAATCATTATGCTAAATTCTCTATAAAGCACACACACACAAGTGAGATAAATGTTAAAGATGAGTAGCAAAGTTTTGAAAATCTAATATAATTCAACATCAAATGAATTTGTGCTCATTTCAGGCATTTTCGCTGTATGTGAAAGAACTACTGCTGTGAGTAAACATGTTCCTCTTAGGCATGGATGCTGTGGAGAGGTCCCAGGACCTTCCCTAAGATGGGAATGGTGGATTCAGCAGCATGCTGGTGACAATGGTATGAGAGGCCTGCTCTGGAACCCTGGTCGCACTATCACTGTATGACAACAGACTCTGCTCCCCTGGGAAGCAGTATTAATACTTACCGGCAGAAATGTGGTGAAGACTACATGGGAGGAGAATTTTGTGTGGTCTTGGCACAGACTTCAGAACACAATGTTCATTTACAAGTTTTATTGATATGGAAGTATTTTATAATTTTGATTTGGATATGCTAATTTTTTTTGGCTAAAGAGACCATGAGGTTGCTATTAAGTCTATTAGCTAACATTTTTAATGTTTATTTTTATAATTATATATTCTACTGGTAAATAGCTAAGCATTTTAGCTTATTTAATCCTCATAAAATTACATATGGTGACTACATTATTCTACCATTTCACTTGTAAAACTAAAAATACTGAGAAGAGAGGTTAAGAATCTTGCTGAAGATCACACAGGTAATGTATCATAGAGGTAATATTCAAACCCTCCAAAGTTGGCTCAGGAGCCTGGTTTACTTTCTTTTGGGGATTTTTCTTATTTTTTGCTATAAGATAAATTTTAGTTGCTTCAAGCTCAACCTAATGTTTAGAATACATGTACATGTTTACTATCATTTGTATTAACTTGACAAACCATCTGTATTTTACGTGATCCTCTATAGATAAAATAGTATAAAATCAATTCAGATTTGTATTATTTGAAATATGACTAATATACTGAAGCCAAGAACTGTCATTATCAAATACAGAAATGAGGATTTGTAGAGCACTGGGCTGCTGAATGGTGCTATCAGTGAGCGGTAAACTAAAGACTACTTCAGAATCACTGAAAGGAACACCTGATGACTAAATTAAGTAATGAACTTTTAACAGTGCTATTTAGATCAAGGTCAACATCTTTGAGGTGCCTTTGAGATTAAATACTGTAATGAAATCATTTACATATATAATACAAAGTTCTATACAACTTATGTGTTATTTTTACTTGTTTAAACTTTACTTGTTTAAACTTTAACTTTAAACTTGTTTAAACTATGTTTCTTTCCCAACATATTTGCTAGGGAATGCATCACTAACATACGGAAATAAGAGATCATCTAAAATAAGATGATCTAATATAGCTTTCATAATTTACCTAGACTTTGCCTAATTAATCCAAGTTACTGTGATTTACGTCGCTATTATGAAATACTTGCTTTAAATGTGTCTTAAAATTCCTTTACCTTGGCTTTTGTGTTGATGCTGATTCCCCACTGTGTGCTGTGTGGCAGTTTTCCATTTCCCCTCTCCCTTTGCTATCCAATGTATTTTAAAAAATGCTAATGACCAGAACCATACCATACTTCTAGCCAAATGTCTGTTATATGGCAACAAAAATATATCATTTTCTGGTATTTAAGTAGCAAATGAATAACTGAAGATGGGTAAAAGTATGGAATACAGAGCTGGCCACCACAGGTTCAAACTGTGACTTTGCCATCAAACTGTATTATAGCTTTGGATAAAATATTTAAACTTTATAATGGTCAGTTTTGTCATCCATAATTATGTACAACAGGAAGGTTGTTGGATAGATTAAATGACAAAATGCATGAAAAGAACCTAGTCCTGCAGTTGATAGTAAAGGCTTAGGGCCAGTCTATTATCTTTATTATGTAAACTGGCCTGTTAATAAGACTGAAATATTTGGGAAAATAAAATGAAGACTGAAAGGATAAAACACTGTCAATTCTAACTTCAGAACAAAGCACTACTATGTAACCCAGTGGAATCTATACTACTTCTAAGAGATGCAGAAAGTCCACATTATTATTATTATTAATCCCTTATATTTACCATTCATTACGTTACATTATCATTAAATTCATTCACATAATTAAACCTTTGCATATTCACCTTTAAATTTTTACATGCATAATGATCTTATTAATCTATTATATGATATATACCCTTCAAATCTCACAAATAACAACAGCATGGATGAAAGTGGTTTAATGAATATGACTGTGGGTACAGATATTTAATATCAATATTTACAGAAATATTGATATTGATGTATAAGATACTGAAGTAATTTTACTACATTAAACCTTTGAAAAGTTTTCAATAAAGGAAAAGGTTCAAATTTTAGATGTTACACTCTTTCAACATGTACCAAGTAATTCTCACCTGGAAAACCCACCTGAAACTACTATAAGGCATGTCTTACCAGCAATGCACGCTTCTCTTCATCTCCTTTAGTTTCTCTCTTTTCATTTTTTTTCCTGAATATCTCCTGAAGCTATAAGGAAATGAATTAGGAATTGAATTCCATCAGAATTTTGAGGTACCTATACATTACTCTATGCTAAATACATCCTAAAAATAAGCAACATAATTTCACCAACATTTAAACTACTCTAGGTATATTTTCTGACTAAAGCATTTTTCACAAGAAAAAAGACCTTCTTTGGTACTGGAAACTCACAGTTGAATTAAATGTCTCTAATGTTACCATTTCCCTGGATCTCATGACACAAAGGCATGAGATCTGAGTCTGAGGCATAGACAGAAGAGATGGAACTGTTGGGCTGTAGAGAACATGGAAGGAGTCCCCAAGGACTCTGGTAGAATCCAGCTTCGGTCTCACACTAATGTTGTTTCAGGCCACTCAGCTCTCACTGCTCTGATTTGTTGATGTACGAACAAAGGACAAGATCACCTGTAAAGTTCTTGCAGTAACTGTACACTGCAGAGAGTATACTGCTGATATCATTCCTCATCCAAGGAATCATTGATATCATCCAAGGCTCATTTTCTGTACTTGAAAAATAAGGAAAATCTCTTGCCTTATAGAGTACTATACAAAATAAATATCACAAAAATTACCTAGCACTTTGTCTATTATTTCTAAATAAATGCCAGCTACAGCTATAAAGAGTATTATTCATCTTTAAACTCTGACCCTGCTTCCTCTACTGTAGAGGTCATGAGGTCCTTGGGCTCACAGATGAGCACTAAGGAAACTAAGAATGGTAAACACACAGGGTAGTCTCTCTCCAAAGGAAGAGATGTTTTAATGTTTAAAAAATAACCTGAGTTCCACCCAGAAAGCAGGGCATGGATGTGGTTAACTGACTGGTGATTGTGCTATCTGTATGGTCAGGCCACACCAGATCCTCCCCAAGACCCTTAAGAAGTCACATGTGTTAGCCAGGCGGTGGTGGCGCACGCCTTTAATCCTAGCACTCGGGAGGCAGAGCCAGGCAGATCTCTGTGAGTTCGAGGCCAGCCTGGGCTACCAAGTGAGTTTCAGGAAAGGCGCAAAGCTACACAGAGAAACCCTGTCTCGAAAAACCAAAAAAAAAAAAAAAAAAAAAAGAAGTCACATGTGGTTAATCTATAGAACCCATCTTTATGGAAGAAGTTACATGTAACTTACAAAGAGTTTTGATGTAGTCATGACTTAAGCTTTATTGTGTGTAGGGGATTGAGTTAATTATCATCAGGAAACTTTCCCCAAATTGTGCTGTGCTTAAATATGCCTAAAATAAATTGCCCCGTATCAGATTCTAGAAGTTTGAATCAACACAAGCTACTGATTCATGTTGAACTGGACTTCCTTCTTGCCTCATGCGAATCATTACTCTGTTGGCTGTGATGTCTACAAAGACCCCTCTATCACACACATTTTCAGAAGAAAAAAAGGACAACCAGAGAAAGCATTTTGCCACAGAAACAGATGTTGGTTACAGAAGTAGAAGAAAAAAACAATTTGGAAGGGGCAATGGGAAAATGAGTGAGCAGAAGAGGAAGACCAGAGGTCAAAGCTCTTGGTCACAGAAAAGGAAGGGAACAGGGAAGTGGGTCCACACACCTAAAGTCTAAGGTAACAGTGAATGAAGAGAAAAGGAAAGGGAAAGTGAGTTCAAACTGACAAAAAGAAAGGTTCCTATGGTAAAGAGCTATGGCAAGGTGGCCGATGTGTCAGAAACTGAGTATTAGCTGGACAAACATAATCTCAGGATAGCCTATTATCCATCAAGTAGAAGATATCTGACAAATTCCAAACTTCCAACTATAGTCAACTTTAAAAATCCAATATAACTTATACTTCCATAATGTAAACATTACTTGAAATATATACTTGCTTATTAGATTCAGGTGAAACACCACATTATAGTAATTAATGGTCCTAATAACACAAAAAAATAACATATAAGTAAGCAATATTTAAGTATTAGAAAATGCAATATATCATGTACATACCACCAAAAATTCTTTTTTATCCACCATCTCATTTCCATCAGTGTCAAACATATTGAAAGCTATTCTAAAACCTGCATGAGGTTCTGCCAGAAAAAAAAAAAAACAGAAAGTTTTCATAAAATGGAAAAAATGTATTTAAAAGTATAAAATCTATTCATTCAACAGACAGATACATACACTGCAGAAAATAAACAACAAATGAAAAGCATTATGTTACTCTAAATTAAATACAATTAAAGTTATACTAAAGGATACATATTTCTGCTTCATGTATTGCAGACTTAGTAACAGAACTGAAAATAAGATCTCAAAGTACTTGACTGTTGCTTATTGCATAACATTAAAGGAAATATTTGACATCTGTCCCTCTAAAACAAATATCCAAATTCTGCCTATTTGTTAAAAAGGAACTAGGAGGTCACTGCATTTGAATGTTTTTTTGGTATTTTCAACTACGTGAAGTGGCAGAAAAGAGTGGTACAGCACAATGCAGCAGCTCAAATTCTTCAGAAAAAAATTATCAAAAACCACCTGTGGAATAAATGTGATCATGAGAGTACAGATCTGGGGTTAAACTTTCAGAAGCTTGAAAAATCAGAAGCTTTTATAAAATGTTTTCATGTGTAATTCCAGGCCCTCCAAAGTCCAGGAAACAATTTTCTTTTTGACTTTTCACAGCCATCACAAGACTGACCACATAAACCAATAATTTCAAACAACCTGAGTTCTATGAAGAAAATAAAGCATGATGCAGGGATTAAAGAGAAGGGCCAGGGAGCTATCTGAAGAGGGGCCAAGCAAGGACTCTGGTGTTTCAAAAGGAAACTCCCCAACTCCTGGAATGCTACTCCTCTTAGGGAGCTCTTGAGAGAAGTACTGGCTGAGAGCAGGACTGACTGCCCCCTGGGGAGGGAGACCAAGGAATGGGAAGGCAGGGTGGCTGCAGGGTGGATGAAAAGAAAGGGAACCCAAGCTCTAGGCAACCTTCCATACACTGCTGCGTGTGTGCCAGAGTAAACCACTGCAGCAGACGGACGATGGCATCTGGACAGACTCACCAGCAGTTAGGAGACTCAAGACTTGCTACTCTTTCACATTAGACTTGCAGAAACCTGGTTTAAATGCATATAATAGAAACTTTATAAATTACTGTAAGTTCTGATCTTTAGGGTCTCATGTAGCTTATACCCCAAAGAGTAATATATTTATAATTGATGCACATTTTATTATTGTCACAAGCCAAAATATAGAGGTTCTTGACACTGACAGTGTTATACTTGACATTTTCCTGTGACATCTAGACATGAATTTGTTCAACAGCTGACATACACAGGCAATTTCCAATAGTATGCTACGGTATATTTTTAAGATCATAAGGAAAAATACTCTAAAAATAAATTTAATGAGTGTACTTACTTGTTAAAATACATAAAAGAAAAAGATATTCGGTGTAAGAAATCACACCTAGAAGAAAACAGTATTAATTATGCTTTATAAAATATTAACTTACATTTCACAAACATAAAAGTTAAATATTGTATATAATAAAAACTATGAATAATTTTAAAGTATATGCTAAATATTGTTTTAAATAGGACTACAATATTATGAAATCATTGCAAATGTAGCAAAATTCATTTTATTGAAATTTTTCCACATGCCACTATAAAAATTCCTGAAAAACATCTATTCATGATAAATATGCAACAAAAGCAACATGTTAATGTTTATTTATAGTTTAACTTTGAAACTTGTTACTTGTTATTACTATGTGAAACATAAAAAGGTCAGAAAACCTAGTCACTTTTTAGTAACACTTGAATAAAACATTTATATTTACTTACTTAGAAATTTGATGTGCAACATTCAAAAATAAAACCTTACACTTACCAGTTTTTTGCTGTCAAATGATCATTAGCTACTTTTATAACAGTTTTTATCCTTAATTGACTCTAAGGATTTTTTAATTCAGTGGCCCTCACTTTATGTTTTCTGCATCTAGAGCTCTCTGTATCCCATAACTGTAATTTTGACCAAGAATGTATATGAAGTAAATAAATACACATTCTGTTACTACATTTTTCACTTCAAGGCTACTCTTTTTTACTTTTAAAGCTAGAATTAATAGCTTAATTGATCAAGAAAAGACTGAAAAAATTAAGTTCAGGAATAAACCTACAATATTTACCTAGATTGCAGTCAATCTGATGTTTGGTAAAAGGTATTAAAAAAAAGCACCCTTAAATAGATTGTGGACTTTAAATCTCCACTTATCTGATGTTCTTTGAGGCTCCATTAACTCTTTGTTACAGAACGAAGAGATTAGGAGTCACTCAGGCAGTTTGTCAGGGACATGAAGGGAACTGCCCATGAGACTGGGAAAGCATTCTCTTCTGTTTATACTAGAATGCTGCGACCTAGAGACAGATAGTTCTGGATGACTGCCATGAACGTTATGGGAGAGAGATTCTGAAATAGTCAATGGCTGTAAAAACATAATTATTTAAGAGTCCTCTTACTGTTCTAGTTTACTTAGTAGATGACAAAATATTATAGTTGATATAAAGAACTTTAAAATACCGTATAATTAATGATGACTAATTCAAGATTTCTCTTATGAAAAAATTAATTAACTGAAGGACTAACTGACTGCAGAGAGTCATGGCAGGCATTTTTCTGTAGGGCTACCTGGTTACTGAGTTGGATTACTATGCACACAGGAAGTGAGAAGAAAGTGATATAACTTAAAGAAAATGGCCAAGGAAAAAAGAAAATACTGCTGAAGCTGAACTATAGACTCCCAATGCTTCCTAACTATAAACATAGAAAACCATAATAAAAATTAGAAGATTAACCCTTCGATTTACTTAAGGCTAAAAGTAGGACAAACAATAACATAATGTCAATTGATACTATATAGTAATGGTACAGTCTTTATAAGTAAAGGATACAGAAGATGTCAACTAAATTATAGCAATCAGGAGGCTTAAGCAGGAGGATTGTAAGTTCAAGGACAGCTCTGGGCTATTTAAAGAGGCCTTGTCTTGAGTAGTGGAGAGGAAAGGAGAAGAAATGACAACTAGGTTTTGAAAACCCAATTAAAAATTTTTAAGAATTTCCTTAAAAACGTGACAGTGTTAAATTACTATTTCTTGATCTATTGCATGTTTTACTAAGTGTTACATACTACTTTTATAAGAAGTTGCTTAATTTTTTTTACTGAGTTATAGCTAAAAAGATAAAATAAAATTTTAAATTAATATTTAGTAGCTGTAAAGATTTAGCTTTAAAAATTTCCCACCACTTAATCTCTGTACACACACACACACACACACACACACACACACACACACACAAATCAACTAGTTCAGTATTTCTCAACCACCTAGCAAGCTGGTTCTAAACTCTTATAAGACTATGGTTTAATGATCTTGCTAATATCAAGAATACGAGACAGATACAAAATATCCCATAGGTAATTAATGAGCAGGTGTAGTATTTAAATTTAGACTAATCTTCATTCCTCCATTACAGCAGCATTTGAAGACCTCATTTGAAGTAATCATAACTGGCCAATGGTTTCTATTCAAAATAGAAAAGAAATATGGACACTTCCACCACTATAGAAACTTTTACTGAACAGTGCTAAATGAATACTCTCTCCTGAAAAATAAACAAAGGCAGAAAGAAAATATAAAAAAATGCATATAACATGTAGAGGGTTAGGTCTTCCAGGCTAACCTTTTCTTAGATAAAAAGATTTCTTTCTTCCATGCATTTTTTTCAGATTATATTTGATTCATTTATTTTCCCATGAGATACATTAAGGCAAAAAAATTAAAATTTATTATACTTAACTATTCTTTTTAAGTTTTGAACATTCTCAGTGCTATTATCTCACTCTAAAATATGAATACAATATTCTAAGAATATTTTTGTTTTTTGAGATGTATTTGCTTATGTAGTCTACTTTGGCTGTAAACTCAAAATCCTCCTTCTTCAGGCTCCGGAGAAGCTGAGAATAGTGAAATGTACCACCATGCCCAGATATCCAAGGAGTATTTTAGTATACCTGAATCTAGTATTTCAATCCTAGTTTTAAAAAATGTCCACAATAAAAGTGTCTCTTTCATTCATGTGAACAACTGGGAAAATATTATAAAAGGAAACTGCAATTAAAACCAAGATAACTTTCTTTTTTTTTTCTTTTAATTAAGGCACCATGTAGCACAAGCTAGCCTTGTATATTCACGAACTGGAGAAGTAATTATTATTCCTTAGATGCAATATGGAATGATAAAAACTAACATTTGAAGATCTAATATTTTTGAAAAGTATTTCCTATGAGCAAATTTACAATGCTTTTCAGTATGGTTGAAAATGATGATGCTAAAGAGGTCCGAAAGTATATATATTTGTGTACGTATATAGTGACAACATAGTCCTTAATCACACTATACCAAATTATATTAGTTACCCAGAAACATTTGCATTTGGTGATTTTCAATGCCATTTTCAATCCATGTCAATATTAAAATACATAGACACTAAGGTTAGCTTACCCCTTTCTTTAAGATTTCGAAAGAGCTTTGACGATCCCTTCCAAACTGGTGGTGTTTCTGAGAGCATCTGACTTAATTCCTATAAAAGAAGGATTGCAATACTGATTAGTAGTCAAATCACTTTCTTTCAACATGAATCTTAAAAAAATGTAAGCATCCTCCCCAGGAAATTCTCCTTTTAAATGACCAGAAATGTGACATTAATCATTTTATTCTATACCTGCACTTTATTCCACTACAGTATTTGCCCACAATACAAATATCAAATATATGCTAAAGATGCTATATTAAACTTAATTAGAACTATTCAAAATTTCAGATAAATTTCCTAACTAGATGCATACAGCAAGACAACTAAGTTAAGATAAAACAGCAAGCTTGAGTTCTGGAGTGAGGAACAAGGGATTGTTTTATAAAAGCCATGTAGATTTCCTCATTAAAATCAGGTGACCAGCTGGCTCCATATTCTTCTTTGCTGCATGCCTGGATTTATCTGAGTCTGAGCAAAAGAAACAAATGAGCAAAGGAATATGCTAAGAATGAATAGAGTATTTTAATGGTAATGCAAAGAATCTTAATACTGGGTAAATGGAATATTGATTTGTACTCATCTTTCTTAAAGTAAATTATCACTGCTGGTGAGAAATTATTGGAGAATTTAAACAGTTGAACATTGCTTATATAAAAATATTTGGACAGATTATACATATTCTGCAAAAATAATAAAAATAAAAAGGAAACAACTATAAAATAATTGACTAGAAGGAAAACCAGTGAAGGGATAATTTGAAGTTTAAAAATGACTTTTCTCAGTAATACATTTTTAATGTAGAAGTCACTTCCAATTCTAGATCTGATCCTTATTTGTCACACTGTGGTTTCCAACAATCCCAGTGTCATCTGAAAGCTTATGGAAATGCAGAGTAGCATTTCCTCTCGACCTTCTGAACTAGACTTGCATTTTCCCTGACCTCCAGGTGATTTGTATGCACATTCAAGTTTGAGAATACTTCAAACAGACTTTTCCTGGTAAGTGGACTCTAGAAAGTGCTCTGTGATGTTTATAAACAATATTTTTAAATTGCAAAGCTGAGGTATCAGGAAAATAAAGAAACCTTTGGGATGTCAAAAGCAGGAGCATTTTGAGGGGCTTTCCAGACTCCTGGAAGCCTGTGTGTAGATTCTAGCATTCATTTCTTTCACAGGGATTTATCTGCACTGCAGGTTAACAGATGCCAAGCTGATGAGCAGTGTCTAATAGGGGACCATGGCAAACAGGTAAGACTAGGCTATTTACTATTTAGATGAAACTAAAATATATTATCAAATTAAGAGATTAAAAAAATCCTCAATACACTGTACATACTTAAATTTATACTATTTCTCTTGTATAAATATTGATCTCCCATTATAACTATGTATTCCAATCTCTGTTCTGATTTTAAAAATCAATTACTTTTTTTGAGAGTCCTTTATGTGATTAACAATCAACTCATAATAGCTTATTTAATTCTAGTAACCAATTCTCACACATATTTTACTTAGACCTAAACTGGACAAGTAATTTTCACAAGTCAGGTACATAGAAGTAAATTACAGAAACTGATTCTCATTGATTTCAAGTAGTTATTTTTAATAAAAATATAGTTTCTCCAGGCCTAGGTCATCTAATTGCTTTAGTGATCATTTTTGTTATCTGCTAATTTTGATTCTTAACATTTACTAAAATCTTTGTATATCCATTCATGCTGGAAATTTGTTTCCACTCACAATATTTATCTTTTCTATTATACTACTGTTCCACATAAAATGAATTTGGCCTTTGTCTCCAACTCCTGGGAGGAAGATGAAATCCATTAGTTACACTTGAGTGTACACTAAGGAGATAACTCAGGATGGTGTTTGCTCACCAGAACAAAGGATGGGAGCAAGGAGAGGTGGAGACAGAGATAAAGACATGATCAACAGTTTGGAAACTTACACCTCAGAAGTAAAACCCAAGACAAGTCTAGACTCTGAGCTCACTGGAGCCCATGAAGATGCTCGGAGAGCGACAGACTGCCTCCACATGCAGAGAGGACAGACATTCTTGGTCAGGACGCTTCCAGACCTACTAGTTTGTCTCTTCAGTTGGGATGTCTTAATAAATGTTCTTTATCTGTAATCCCAACTACAGCATTTTCTGAGTTCTATGGGTCATTTTAGTAAACTACTACACCAGGTGTAGAAAAATCCTGGAACTGTAGCCAGAAGTGAGGCACCTTGAGACTTCTGAACTGGAGTCCACACCTGTAAAGAGAGCAGTCTGTTGGGCACTATGTCTTTAAACTACTGGAGTCAGACACTAATTCTGGGGCGTCCAGTGCCACAATTACATTGCAGCATTGCAAGTAGGGAACAAATATACATTTGCTGAATTAATTTTACTTTCCTAAAGCTATAGGTGTTTTTAAAGTGCTTACATAATTTTCCAAAGTGAGTATAGTTTTTTAGTCATAGTACACACACACACACACACACACACACACACACACACACACACACACACACACACTGCACAGGAAAACTGTAGGTTTAGAAAAGAAAAATTATATTCAAAGACAAAACACACTACAATTTTATTTAATATTCTTTTAATCTAACTCTCTCATAGATACTGTATACAGCCATTTATTATTGTAAATATTAAATCTTTATTCCCTATATACTGTTTTATATTTTACTTTGTCTTTTACATAATATGAATATATCTTCATGTCAAACAGTCTTTATTTTGATGTTAATGCCTACACAGTAGATTTTTATAACGGCACTTTTGAAAGTTAGCTGTTTACATTTTTAAAATACTAAGGACACAAAAGATGTTTATCTGTATAGTATTCATCAATGTTTATTTAAATGTGAAAAATGAAAAACTAAAGTACAAGCATACACAACCACACACTCCATTAGCTGTCAAGAGTGATAACATCACTCATCATACAGCCTTTAGAAAAATCTACTGACACCTGTGAGAGAATGAGACTGAATAAAACAGCTTCCCAGAATCAGGAAAATTACTTTGACTTTCTAGGGCCTAGAAAACATCAGCATCCTGCCACTTGCTGTTTGCTTAACCGTATCTGTTAGGTCTTGATACACACAGCTCTAACACACTTATTTATTTCATTCTGTATTACTATGTTATCCGTGGTACGCTACTTACAATTATTTGATCCATTTCCCCAATGATTATATTGTTTCTAAAATTTTCACTCTTCCATCAGTGTGTCAGGAAACACGAATAAGAGAGCAGGTGTGAACATTTAAACCTTTCTTTAGCATACATACCTATAAATAGGACCTCAAATATACATTTTAAATTTCATCAGCCATTACCATATCCCTTCCCAAAGCAAAGGCATCATCTATTTTTTCAATTGGTTCCTTCATGCCCTTGCTCAGCATTGACACTGTCAAATTTCTGGAAGCTAGCCATCTGGTGGGTGTGGAATAGAACATCGTTGCTTTAATTTGCATGTCTTTGGTTATTAGTTGAGCTATTTTATATGTATTTGCTAGCTCTTCTAGCTATGCTGTCCATTTCTTATTGAGATGATTATCTTTTTAGTATCAATTACACACGTTCTAGACAGCTATAAGGTCCTCTTTTAAAGTTGTTTTTTGGATAATAAATTATGAAAGCATTTTCCTATGCATCAAATATCTTTTAGGGTTGTTGATGGGTTTGGGTAGCCACAGTTTAAGTTATTTAATTTAGTAAAATCTGCCAGTAATTTCTTTTGAGGTTTGCTTCATGTATCTTATCTAAAAAGATCCTCTTATGTGTTCTTCAGTTTTTACATTTTAGCATTTATAGTTTTTAATCATAAATAAAACACAATATAACACCAAACAAAAACCCAACTGGCATTGATAACTCTGCTATTACTTTTGGTGATGTCCTCTTCCTCTGTGTAACAAGTCTATATTCATTATGACACTCTTTAAACATTTTTTAGTTGGGGCATCATGGAATTCTTTTAGGGTTGGATAAAAGCTTCTGACATTCACTTCTCAACAGTAATCACATATAATTTTCATTATTTTCTTTGGTCGTTACAAGTATTACTCCCTTCATGGGAGTGAATATCACTTTTTGGTAGAAGAATCTTCTGAATTAGTACATTTGCATGATACTCAGACCTGACCTTTCAGCTAAGATGTATATGTGGGGAGAGGTTACTCTTTTTTTTTTCCTTTGGAAATTCTAAGATGGTAGGACTTGAGACTCAGGTGGGTAGAAGTTGTTATTATTATTATTTTTTATCACATTTGGAAGGCAAGAGAGAAGGTGCTGCACTGAAATCCTCTGAATCTTTGTGAAAAGCATTTCTAGGTGCCAACTGCACCACTAGCACTTGGTAGCCAGGGCTGTGAGGCTCAACTGCTTGCACTGTGTTCTTTTCTTCTCCTGCACATGAAAGCATCTGATGATACTTTACAATGTTCCACAATTCAAGAAATCTGTCAGTGCTGTACCAGAGTTATGTTTATGCGGACTGAGGATTAATAAGGATAAAATATAACTACAGGCAAGGACAGATACAAGCATCTCCAATTCTATTTCCCAGTTCCCTGAAACTTATTATCTCCATTACCTCTGAGCATGAACATTATCTCTTTTGATACTAACAGTCAACTGATATGTTAATGTTTACTGGTGGAAGAATAAGACAGCCAATATATGCACAATTCTCGAATTTGTTTACAATTATAGCCAACTGTTCACTGGACTATCAATTTACTTAGATAGCTCTGACAGTATTTGATACATAATAGTTATTTAAACATAATCATCATATATGTGAATGAACCATTGTTAATAGATGAACACTGTTGGTAAGTATCTATGCTGTGATAAATACAATATGTACTTTTACAAATTTGAGATGATTTTCATAGTACATATACACAATTGCCATGGCATATTATGATGTGTTCATCCTTCTAAGTATATGAAATATATTTTAATGAAGACTAGAGTTACTAGCCATGATGCTTGGAAAAAAAGAACACAATCCATCTTCAATTAGCTTT